ACAATAATCTACAAACAAGAAAAACTGTTCTAAATAATTGAGAAAATTAGCATTGCAGCAACTATTTTAGTTTTATTTGAGTAAGTGATTTATTTTAATCTGGGTTTAAGTTGTAATAAAGCTCTCAGAAAAGCCCGCTCTGCTCCGTGTTGACTCTGGTGTCGGCCCGGTTCTTATATCAGCTCATCTCACAGCTGGATTTAATATCGCAGGTTTTATCCCACKTCTTTAGAGTATTTGACACTTTGTTTTGAATCGACTTGCCTCTTATCTGTCCGACAGATCCTTTTCTGTAAATATTAGTGGTTTCTCTTATCTTCTGTGACCTGAGGAGCACCTCAGGGTTTTGTGTTGGTCCCCCTTTTTTATTTATTCATTTTTGTACTCATTAAACCTCAGGGGTTAAAATTGAAAAGGATTCTTGTTTGCCGATGACACTGAAGCCGAAAACGTCGGTGAAAAATTCACAATATTTAGCTTTAATTTAACTAAATATCCTCAGAAATAATTTAACTCTTAAATTTTTTAAAATCATTGTTGTTTTTGTTTGTTTGGTTTCTTTCAAATCTGCTTCAGCTGATTTTTTGCTCTGTTTTTGTCATCTATGGAATGTTTTGCTTTTAGTGACTGTTTGTTAATGATTTTTTAGCTGCAGTTTTGTTGATTTTAGCTTTCAGCTAGGTTTTTGCTGATTTTAGCTTTTCGCAAAAATTTGGCTGATTTCAGCATTTAGGTACAAATTTGCTGATTTTAGCTTTTTGCAAAAGTTTGGCTGATTTCAGTATTTAGGTACAGTTTTGCTCATTTCAGCTGGCATTCAAGTTCATTTTAGTTTACTGGTTTGCACCTTTTAGCTATATTTTATTGTAGCTTTTATTGTTTRGCTGATTTTGCCACATTAATTTTAGCTTTTAAAGGAGATTTTGCTCATTTTAGCTGCTTTTACTGCTTTGGCATTTTAGCATTTGGCTTGTCAACAATTCAATTTCAGTTTCTTAAACAAACCTCAGCCTGCAACTTTCACACAACTCTTTGCCGAAAATGTTGATTTTTCTGATTTAATGTGGACATCATAAAATCATAAATAAATATAGGTTTAACACATTATTATAAAATCATAAATAAATATAGGTTTAACACGTGCTTTTGCTGTTATATTGACAAAACATTGAGCTAACATAACATGACTTGGAAGACATTTTTAATGCTGCCAAAAACCTTTAAATAGAAATTCTCATTGTTTATTTAACTCGAATTTATGTAAAAATCATGTAAAATCCATTTTAACCTTGTTTTAAATCTTTCAAAATAAAAGCAGAAAAAAAGTTWAAGTTATAATCTGGGTGTAGAGTAAATCAAAGAAGCCAAAGTTACAAATTAAAGAGAAATAATAAATAAAACAAATATAAAATTTATTGCTCTCTCTCTCAGAGTTGTATTTTACAGCGGAGCAGTCASAAAAACTTTACACTCCGGAGATCCAGTTGGACGACGCAGACCGTGCCACAGACTCTGCGGGCCGCCTGAGAAAGGAAATTAATTTCTCTTTGGGAGAAAATCACTTTAACAGATAGCATGGTGGAGGCAGGCGGGAGCTTTGCTGCTGCGCCCGCCCCCCCACCTCCAGCCCCCCAGCCTTCGTCCCTCCACAGCGTCTGAAGGCAGCAGAGGCAGTGCAGCTGAGGTGAGTGAGTGTCGAGCTCTTCTACTGTTTACCTTACAAATTAAGGCTATTAGCAGGTTAGTCCGGGCTATATATTTGCTCGTGGGCCCTGAGCAGGTATTAATGCACACATGGTTTCAATCGTGGAGCTGCTCTTGAAGCACTGATGGCCTGTGGCGGGGGTGTTTTCACTCACTCTACCCCCTCGAGGACAACGTGAGTCAGAATCTCCCAGCATGTGAGTGTTTTTCTGTGAAATAATACAAATCTGCTGTCCACTTCCACTATCAGACATTACATCCTCCGCACATTTTTTTAGTTTTTTTTTTACGTTGCCCGTTGATAGTTGAAGTTTTCTCTAAATCTAAGTTCACAATGTGCTTTTATGAGCTGTTAACAGCAACATTACAGTCATTAGTTTGCATTCAGGGAGAGGTTTAGTATCTCATGATGATGTAAATTTAATTCCAGACGCTTTTAAAAAGTGCTGTTTAAAAAGAAACCGGCCCCATGAGAGGATATTGTAAATACAGAGTTTAAAAATATCCCAACACAAATCTGTCAAAACTTCTTTAAGCAATAAGTTTGAAGAGAAAAAAAAAGGTGCAGAGGATTTAGAGGTGAGTGAGAAGACGTTTAAAAGTGAAAAAGGAGACATTGCCAAGTGCTGGTGTTTGTGATGAGTCTGATGGGAGGTTGTTTTTTTTTTCTGAAGGTGGACCTGCAGCCAAACCTGTGGCTGTCAATCACTCAGGCTCCGAGCTGCAGACAGGGTTTCCTGCATCCGTTTAACGTCATCACTGAAAGAGGAAAACCTCACGTTAGCTCGACTGCAGAAATAAAAAAAATTACATAAAAGTGACAAAATGTGACTTTTGCTGAAGKAAAATACAAACTCAGGATTTACCTGAGGTGGGTGAGTAGTGCTACTTCAACATGTTTTTACTCAAGTAACAGTAAAAAGTAGCCAAGAAATGTCTGAAGGAAGAGAAAAAAAAAGGTGCAGAGGATTTAGAGGTGAGTGAGAAGACGTTTAAAAGTGAAAAAGGAGACGTTGCCAAGCGCTGGTGTTTGTGATGAGTCTGATGGGAGGTTGTTTTTTTTTTTTTTCTGAAGGTGGACCTGCAGCCAAACCTGTGGCTGTCAATCACTCAGGCTC